TAAAACTTAGCAAGTCACTATTATTGTTTGAACAAATAAATGATGACAATAATAAGTTGATGTAATATCATATCACTATTAGCTTATTCTTCGAAGACTCAATCCCTTCAAAAGTATCCAGACCATCAAAATTATAAACAACAACAAGAAAACCACTAAAGGGAAACTACCCCCCCCCACCCCCGGGGGGGGGGGGGAGGGGGCAAACGCGAGAGAAAAACCTTGGACATTTGTCATACCGTGTCTGACAGAGCTCATAGCTTTATATAAACCATTTAAAACGGAACTGACCTGTCCACTTTCGTTGACCAAAGTCTTGATAATCAGTGCAATATCCAGCCCTGAAGCCATTATTGATGTGGTTGCTATGAGAGCGAGAGAGAGAGAGAAAGAGAGAGAGAGAGAAGTCAAAGGAAACTTTCGATGTTTATAGATCATAACACAACATTGATTTACAGAAGGCCATATGCCATGCCAACCTCTGAGTCTGAGCCACTATATACAAATTCATCAAGGGGTAATGTCTTGGATGAAACAGATCTTACATAATGAAGTGTCACTGAAGTAATAAATATGATGACGATAATAATAATAATAATAATAATAATAATAATAATAATAATAATAATAACAATAATACTACTACTACTACTACTACTACTACTACTACTACTAATAATAATAATAATAATAACAATAATTATGATTTTGCTTTCTTTCTTGAATTACTTGAAAGACGATAAGTATGCCCACAATTATTAAAGATGAACTTGAGTTCTGGTAAAAAAAAAGAAAATGAATTATCACAAAATCAAACGAAACTAACTCTGAATGTACAAGATTACAAATAAATGTCATTTGCCAAACAATTTTGGTAGAAAATGTATACTGGCTGAGTAATGAGCAAAGAAAGATAAGGAAATCAAGGTAAGTATAGGCCCGACACCATTTGTGTAGTCCCATATACATCTTTCTGTGTACAGTGCTTGTTACTTTACCAAGACTCATGACTGGGCCAAATTTATTATGATTGTGATGACTCCAGAAACTTGCAGTACACACCAATACTGACATGCTACATGATCAACCTTTCTGATCCATTCCACACCATTTTTTTCACAATGCAATCGCATGACCAGAACTCAACTTTATCTTTAAACAATTTTCTCACAACTGCGCCAGGAGTGTCAATTTTGACAAACATAGCCCATAACCAATGTTCCCCATATTATTATTATTATAATTATTACTTTTCTAATCCTCTATGCCACGACACCTCCTGCTCCAAAAAGGAGTAAGAAATGCAATCTTTTTCTTCAGCAACACAAAATCGCACGGGTAGTCACATCTAGAACATGGCTTATACTACCAGAGAGTCAAGATGCGAAGGAGTTATCACAGCAAACCCCTTGATGTTAGTTTCTTGACATGGAAATCGTGACCCTCAAATAGTGACCATTCCAAGCTTATAACAATTTAAATGTTATTCCGGCAACCCTGATAAAAACAATGTATACAACATTAACACACGAACTTTACTGTTGCAATGTATATATCTTTTGGCACTGACATGACCATAATGAACCCATAGGCCACGGTGACAACTTGAGTAAATATGCATAAAATGCCAGATTCTTACCTAGTAACAAGAGCACTCCTAGAAATTGCCTTATCCTTTCTCCAAAACAAAGCAGTCACAGCCTTTCTAATCTGATCTGCAGAACTCGAGGCACTGTCTATTTATGTGTTTTCATGAGACGTGGACGGTGGTTGTGTAATGATGGAAAGAGATTACAGATTCCCGCTCGGAAACGTGGCTCGTCTGTTGGGGATTTTAGCAAAATGACGTCATGGGGAATCCCCGTTGTCAAAATGGTGATGCGTGTTCATAATTTATGCCGGGGAGGAGAGAGAGAGAAACCTAATCGCAGAATAATAATGTCCGGATGTTGCGTTCATGTCTGATACCCTACCCTACATGTCTGGGCATGCTTCGGGTCTTTCTTTGCCCCTTGCACGCCATTTGGAATAATACATTAAAGGTATTATGTCCCATTTGCAGCCAACATCAAATTAATATGTAGAGCTTTGCATGAATTATGAATATGTCACGTATGTTCTATCTGTGAAATTTAAACGTTAGCAGTGTCCTAGTATTCCAAATATGCAAGGAAACCCGTTTACTTTCTAGACTTCACCGTCAGCCACTATTGAGTGACGGTGAAGTCTAGAAAGTAAACGGGTTTCCTTGCATATTTGGAATACTAGGACACTGCTAGTATAGTATTCAAATAAATTTTCTTTTTTATCGTGGATTATGCGATGCAATTAGACAAGGGTTTAACATTGTACTATTTTTAACAAGGTGCCACAACCTCTTTTCCCAGATACAATAGCTTTTGTTATGAAACGTATTAAAGGATGTTCACATATCTATGCAATGTTATTAAAGAGAAGAAAAGGACTATGTAAAAGTTTTCTTAAATGGAAATGTATTTTCGACCTGAATGATAAGAGTTGGGAAACATATTGTTCTATTGGATTTAATTGTACCATTGATGTGGGCTTAAGATGGTTTCAGTTTAAAGTTTTGCAACGCATATTATATACGAACGATCTACTGTTTAAAATGAATTTAGTCCCAAGAAAAAAATGTACATTTTGTAATGAACATATTGAAACAGTTATACATCTGCTATGTGATTGTACGCATGTTAAACATATTTGGGGTAGGTAAGAGCACTGGATTAATACTGGAACCGGAAATTAATTAACATTTTCATTACAAGATAAATTATTTGGTTTAAGAGGTTCAAATAATTATGCATTGAATTGTATACTGATTGTGGTGCGACATATGGTGTAAACTTGCAAAATAAAGAAACAATTGCCCGACTTTGACAATATTAGAATTTCGATTATAAATTACTTCAAAAACGAAAAGTATATTGCAAATTCGAATTGTAGAAATAATAAATTCACAAGAAAATGGTTTCAATTCAGGAATTTGTTTTCTTAAAATGATATTTTTTCTGTATTTGTATTTCTTTCCATGAGTGTCAGAAATGAATTATTGATTTGTTATTTTGTGTTAACTCAACAGTTCATCAATACTTGTATTTTGAAAAGCCAATTTTATTTATGTTCAAATGAAAATCAATAAAATCCCTGTGGAGGGAAGAAAAAATATGGAAAAAAAAACTATTGAGTGACTGACTGACTTCATTTTTTCTTTGGTAATAACATACATAAAATGAGCTGTCAAGGGTAGGCCTACATGAGCATTTGTTTACATCAATAATTATTCACTAAAAAGATTGCAATCCCTAAAGTTGATTCGACAACTAACGTTCGTTATTTTCCCACAAATAGACATTTTCAAGCCCTTTCGTTTTGAGGGACGTTCTAAAATTAGTATTATCTGTCAAATGCCGTTGGAATTTAACCTTTTCATTTGTTTAGCCTGCAAATGGGACATAGTATCTTTAAGATAGATATTCCGAATCCTCAACTTTGGAATGACCCGTTCGAGGTTTTTTAAAAACTGCTTAAAAACCCTATTGTCGAAACATGGAATTTCTTGCATTTCCCACATTCACCGACGATCACGTCTCTAGGAGAATTTTGGCAAAAATCCCATTACCACTTCCTGCACATTTAGTACTATGCGTTTTTATTTCAGTGTGGTTGAATATCTGTTGCAGTCATTATCTTAATAATCCCACATCAGTCGAATTCATAACTTCAACAGAACACTTGATATCCCTCATCCTAACTCTAATAACCCTAACCCTAATCTAATACCCAGCTGCAACCCTATCCCTAACCCTAACCCTAAATCTAAACTGGAACCTAATTGCAACCCTAAATTACCCTAAACCCCTGCCTAAGCCTAACCTGGAACCTAATTGCATCCCTGACATTAACTATGCAGCCCGAAAGCAAATGTCGTCAAGACACATGTCAAGGCACCTGGACATAGACCTCTGAGGATGACCTTGCTGCGTATATATATAGCTATGATGTCATGTAAGCAAACGAAAAACAAGGAAAGAACGGGAGACGGGAGAATAATATAAGGAATCTATAATATTTTAGCGAGATTTCATGGTTGCAAATTGCCATGGTAAGTCCACTAGATTTTATTTATTTATGACGTCATGGTTGAAAGTCATCATTGGATTCTCACAAGCTTTTATTATGCCTTCCGCATGATTGTCTGGCCGGCTGTGTTGAATGCCAATGGCTTTACCTGTATGAACCCCCAGCTTACCTAGTGCTGTTCAAACACACAGTCAGCGATCAGTCGTAAAATACGAAACACGCTTTTAATAGAATCTTTTCATTGAGATTGTATTAGTAGCAATATAAAATCACATACGCAATCGCATAAAATATTGCACGCCCCTACAGTACGGCTTCCATTGTATTTTTTATTCACCTGAACAGTACATACACTTGGGAAAACAGTCCAAAGGTTATGGATGAAGTGAATAGTTTCTGAAAAACGAATTGAAATAATTTGATAGAAACGTCGTCTAGTCATGATGGTATGTATGAATTTAGGGGAAATGTAGAGTTATTAGTACTGTAGTATTCATAGAACTAAGAAAATATTTTTAATATGTGTTCTCTTTTTTCTCCATTGAATATTCCATCAATTTTCAAAGAACATATTGCCCTATAAAGATATCGACTATGCATTCTGACATCTTGATACTTTGACAACCAATTCAAGCATTTAAATTTTAATTCAGCGCTATAATTATGTTCCTATGATTTTGTTCTACACCGAGTCATACTTCGGTTCAGTTGTATATTAGCGTTGAAATACGTGGTGATGTAGTTCTGTAAACCTTAAAGTATTTAGAAAATCCCCAAGCCTGGCATTAGATTATTACTTTCTACTGCGTCTGGGAAAACCCGCTTAGAATTTGTGTGGGGAATCCCCTATGAATGATGAAAGCATGACGTAACTCGGCAGAAACGGATACGCGACTGACCGCTACATCAGTATAGCTTTCTAGAGCACTCGCGATTATCAAGACAGACAACATCTCGAAAGAAGAAGAAAAAAATCCATCCGGTTAGAGGAGTTATAAAGAATATTTTGACTCTTGACGGGCTTATTTTCAGTGAAGATAAACATAGTACCCGGTCGAACATAATCACCGAATGACGTAGACTGCTTTTAGGTCTAGGTAATAACATACAAAGCCTCATCGAGAATACACATCTCGTATCTTGTCTACACAGTGGGTATCAGCATAACATTAGCATCGCTTCTTATTTAAACCTGGAATCGTGCATCCCATAAGAGTTTGCTTAACGGAAGGATGTCATTTTTAAAGGGCCTCGTGAACATCATTAATGTGGTCGACAAGGCGACAAACGACGAATTCGAGGTAAGAAACATAGTAGGGAGGAGAGAGAGAGGGAGAGAGAGGGAGAGAGAGAGATAGAGAGAGAGGAACAAAATGGAGAGCACAATGGAATGGTATTTAAACTCTTGCTGTGTTCATAATATTTTGGCAAGTCTGATTCTTGATACTGGTCGATATTGCAGCTATGGAAAACAAACGACACCCAGATCTTTAGAAGAATTTAGGAGTAATAGAACAACAGGTTGACAAATGGGCCTATGGCATAAAACATGCTATCTGCAGTTGTATAAAGTGTGTTCAGACGGGTGTACTGCAGGGTCTTTTAAAAATAAAATAAATTATTCTTTCCTGCTTCTCTCCCTCTCTGCCTCTTTCTCTCGTTTAACAATGTTAATGCATGGCCCTACGTGCTATCGGCGTTTGTGTTATGGTGTAATATTGAAACCCTAAATTGCGCTTCAAATAATAATAATAAAGTGCCTCAAAAAAGTAAAACTATCATTTGCCCCAATAGACTGTAGTATTCGAAAACAAATGTAATTTCAATTTAAATTCATAAATATCTTGATATTCAGGCGGGCGATCGGCTTGTAAATGTCATGGGATTCCTGACTGACCCTAAGGTATATAATTGCAGTATGAGCTAAATCCATAATTTTCTTTCAGAATCTGAGACAAAGATACCCAATTCCTTTAAAGGTACTATGTTCCATTTGCAGGCCAAAAAATAAAAAGGTTAAATTCCAACGACATTATATTGAAAGATAATACTAATTTACAACTTCCCTAAAAAACGAAAGGGCTTGAAAATGTCTTTAAGTGGGAAAATAATGAGTATTAGTACATGTAAGTTGTCGAATCGACTTTAGTAATTTCAGTTTAATTTTGGCTATTACAAGAAGTGGGTTAATGATGTAAACAAATGTTCATGTACCTGTTACAGCTCAATTTATGTATGTTATAAACAAAGAACAATCTGAAGTCAGCTACTCACTCATTAGTGTCTGACAGTGAAGTTTAGAAAGCTAATTTGAATAATAGGACACTGCTATAACGTTTAAATTTTACAGATATGATTATAAACATGACATATTCATATTCCTGCAAAATTCTACAGAATTTGATGCTGGCTGCAAATGGGACATACTGTACTATCTTTAACATATCAGTATTATATAGGCCTACTCCACCACCCTTTTCACAGAGATTGTAGTCAAGTGGTTCGAGCACGTTGATTACATATGAATGGTGTGAATTCGATTCCCGACATGCCATTACCAATTCCTAAAATTTACCCCTCTCGACCCAAGTGCATGAACTAGGCCCTTGGTATTTGAACTTTGGCTTGCCATTATGCACTATTATACAGTACATCAAGGGACATCGAGATAATATAGTAAATCCAGAGCAGTTATTTCGAAAGCATGGAGGCGTTAACTGTTTCGGTGTGTAATCCGCTACACACATTAGGATATCGGCACAATTTCTCTTGCTTTATTTCCCTCCACTTCTTACCTGTTCCCATGCGGCTTGCAGGTAACGAGGGAGGGTCGAAGATTCAAGATACTGGTTCATGGTCGCTTTCATCACCCGTCCGAACCCTGGGTTTACGACGTCACCGCCACCGATGTGATCACGGGAACATCGGAGAAAATCAGGCACTTTGACAGGAAAGAAGACGGCGTGAACGAGGCCGCCAACGCCGTCCTCCACGCTTTGAGAGAGAAAGGCGTGGTAGGAGGTGTTCCCATGGTTACCACAGAGGACCGTGGACAGATAGCACTCGCCTCACGGAGTGAAGACATTAACCGTAAGAGTCTCTCTCTCTTTTTCTCTCTCTCTCTCTCTCTCTCTCTCTCTTTCTCTCCCTCCCTCTTCCCCCCTCTCTCTCTCTCTCTCTTTCTCTCCCTCCCCCTCTCCCCCTCTCTTCCCTGTCCCTCTCTCATCATTTCTTATTCTTTTCAGGGGCTCAACCGAATTCACTATTTTCATGTTGATTAATTGTGTTTAATTTGAAGTTACAAATGTATTTACTCTCTGATGTGATTTGATTAACGTCATTCCCACAGACAAGTCAAGTGTCATCGCAAAAGATGTAGGAATATTTTTCAACAAAAAAATTGATGTATAACTAACTATTATGTGCTCACGTAATCTGGAACTATATGAAAGAGAAATATCGCATCCATTGCTGATAAGGCTTCAATGTAATTTGGAAAACATGTTGTTTTATCTTCTGTTCCAACTGGACTCTTTTTCTGTCTTTCTTACACTCTCTATTTCTCTCTCTCTCCCTCTCTTTTTCATTCTCTATAATTATATCTTTCTTACTCTCTCTTTCACTAAATTTCTCTTTCATTTAAATTGATCTCGTTATATTGGTACATTTCATTACAAAAGAAGCCTTGATGAAAATGCTAGCCAAGCAGGGCTTCATGTCTGAGCCGAACCCACCGGCCCCTCATGAACCCAGATCACCACCTCCGGCATATCAACATGAACCCAGATCGCCACCTCCAGCATATCAGCAGATCATCCAATCACCATCACCCAATCAGCCAAGTCAGGCGCGGATCCAGGATTTCTTAGGGGAGGGGGCCCAACTTTATTTTTTTTTGCTCCCGAAAATTTGAAAATCGCACCGGCCAAAAATTCGTTCAGTGGGGGGGGGGGGGGGGGGGTAGTGAGCACATTTTTTTTTTTTGATCCTCAATTTTTTTTTTTTTTTAATTTTTTTTTTTTTTTTTGCTCCCGAAAAACGCGCCGGCCAAAAATTCGCTCAGTGGGGGGGGGGGGGGGGGGGGGGGGGTAATGCCTTTGCCCGAAAAGAGATTTTAATTTTAAGACGGTTGTGTCTTGGGGTCATGGCACGGACACGACCCCACCCTTAGACAGACATGACAAACGGAAGGTACATAAGAACGAATTTGAAATTAATAAATAACTATAAAATACAGTGATCCGACCAAATCTCTGGAAAACAAATAAATCTTTCAAGCTATTTTTTCACTTGTGTAATAATGATTATGCTTGTGTTTTGTAACACCAAGTATTCATTTACCATGTGAATGAACTTTTCTAATAGTAATAGATCCAAATACAAAACAATGGGAAAGAAAAATTGCTGCTACCCCCTTCCACCCCCAGAAATAATATTCTCTAGAAAATAAATTTATTCTAGGTACAACCTCCCCCCCCCCCCCCCCCTCGCCCTACATGTATGTATGACGATCCCGGATCAACTTTTATCGAAAGTAGAAATAGCTTGCTTCTTGAAAATAAGATGATGATGTTACATACATAATCTTTTCACGAAACCTGATTTTGCCACGACTCAAAGCGTTACAATAATTAATGGTCACCTTTGACGCTCTTTTTTTTACGTTCGGTATTACGATTTAAATTTGTTACCGCCACACTTTCAATACAGTATGTTATCTCCTCAAACTCTTTTCGTAATCTGTAACATTTACTTTGATACCCCAACTTTTCCTTTTCTACTTCCCTTTCAAGCCTAATTTGTGATAAATAGGTTTTCCTGTTCTAACGTAATAATCCTACCATGTCTATTTTATGAAGAAATATTTGGTTTCATGTTTTACGCCGTTTGTTATCGATTAAGTTAGTGCACTTTTTATTAAAAAACCATTTGTAATTCAACTATTACTATTATTATTATTATAATCATATATTTTAATTTTAGTCGGGGGAGCACCAGCAGTATTTCAGTATGGCATAGAACCTGATGTAGATGGCTTGTACACTTCTGTTCTGATCCCTCCCGCCCACCCTGATCAGGCGCTGCTCGATCCCAGATCTGTAAGTATACTTTTATGGCAGATATATTCAAATATTACTTCAATCTTTCGATGGATTGTATCGAATCATGAAACAGGGGTTTTATGCAATGAAAAGGAAAAAAAATCATAACAACAAATAACGTTCTGTGTATGGAGGGATGGGGGCTATAGAACACTTTTTGCAGTCGTAATCTTCATCCATGCTTATTTAGTAATCTCTAAATTAGATTGGACTACACTAATTTTATTGCAGAATTATCCATGATCGTTTCTTCATCCAAGTCCTCCTTTTTCCACTAACCCTGATTATACAGACATACGTCACATGGGAATCACCAAGAAAAGGACTCGTCTACATCTTAAACAACAGCCACTTTCCCTACCTGCCTGATAGGTCGAAGTTGAGGCGAGGGTCAGATGTCGATCTCCAGAACGTCAAACATGTATTTTCTCAGCTCGGCTTCGAACCACTGGTTCATCAAAATCTCTCCAGGGTGGTAAGTAGGAATATATTTTTTGATTTTAATTTTTGACCAGCTTAGTAGTCAATCATGTTGTGGTCGACCATGCGTTGTGATGACGTGATTTGGCTTCGGATTACTTGGTTCCAACCCTGATTCGGCAGGCTTTCTTGGGGAGCTGTGCCCCCCCCCCCCCCCCCCCCCCCCCCCCCCCCCACAGGCCCACCCCTCCGTCATGCCCGTTACTGATAACTGCATTGAGTCTGGAGAATGAGAGAATAATGCAACAATTGTGTTTCTTTCAGTAGACCTGCTAGCATTCAGAAAGTATGTCCCTGATTACCTTTGAATACTGACAACAGTCATGTGTTTCAACACTGATTCCCCCATCCTTCCTCTGAACCCGTGTAAATAAAAGTGGAGGTGTGTTATGTTTGCTGTACCTGTTGGAGTGTTGGTACAAGTTTTCAATTCAATTTTGTAATGTTTGCATTCATGATCGCTCAGAATTATTAACAATGAAATAGACTCGATATTCAATTCCTCGTGTACAATAGTGCCTTTGTGGTTGAGTGTGTTTACACTGTGTCTCCAAATGTATCATTGTGTAGGAGATTCTCAGTACACTTGACGAGACTGTTAATCGGATCAACGCAGAGGGCGACGCTCACAGTTCATTCTGCTTGTTCTTCATGAGTCATGGCAATTGGGAAGGCGTCTCGGGTACGGATGCACGCCCTGCAGACCATCGTATCGTCACCAGAGACGAGATTAAGGCCAAGCTTACTGGTCGAAGATGTAAAGCTCTTCTTGGGAAACCGAAGCTTATTTTCATCCAAGCTTGCAGAGGAAGTAGGTTTCAAGACAATGTTGTTCATTGAAGATTTCAATATATATATATATATATATATTTCCTCGGATTTTCGGTTTTCTGTTACAGTTGATATAGTATGGAACTAAAGATATTGAATAGTTATATAATAACGTATAACCACAGCGAATTGATATAATGTACTGTGCACATAAAATGAGACACAAGATCATATTCAAAGTACATATTATAATTGGTTGAAATTCAAAATGCTTTTGCTCCTGGATGATCGAACTTGTTTCAAGAGGACACAAGAATTGAAAAATTCATCCCAAGTAGTTTTCGCTCTCTATTCGGTTGTTTGGAACAAGAGAAACAAATTTTAGTCTACCATTCCGGGAATGATAGACAATTCCACTTTCTTTATAATTATGCTCCTATTACCATATTCTAGATGCATTTACTCGTAATGCTGATGAGCTTGACGCCATCGGGAAGTCAACGACAGAGGTCCAGGACGAAGAACCTCCCTTCGAGATGGACTACGTATCAGCGACACAACCACTGCGGAGCAAGGAACAACCTTTCGAAGTGGATTTCGTACCACGGGTCACTCCGACTCCGTCACCTACCATCGAGCTGGATTCCCTGGACAGTCCTTTCGGTACAGTCGACTTGGATGTTGATGGGGGTGGAGAGCTGCCTAATAACTCTGATATATTTGTGGCCAATGCAACCTCGAACGGTACGACGTTACAGTTGGTATAATAGTTTGTGTATATTAAGCTAGAATGGACAAAATCAGCCTCAAAAAGCTTTACCTGGCATTATAATTATAGGTTACCGGATAACGAGTATAACGAAAATAACGAAAGTCATGAAACTCCTCCCAAAACCAAGCACGGAACCCTCCCCCACGACCCCCCCCCCCCCCAGGACCAATGTTGAGGGTTAGTTGGTTGGTTTGTTTTCCTGACTGCTTAGCAATTATGTGTATGCTTGTAAGTAAGCAAGTCCGGAATCTTGCGAGGTGAAAATCCCATATAAGAGAAAACGACAAGGAAATGAGCCCTAACTGGTCGTTAAACTTTGTAAAAATATAACTGTGGTTTTCCCGTTTTGAAAAAAGTGCATTCTTACACGTTGCCATGCGAATCGTTCTGTGTTTAAAAACCCCGTTATGTTTTTCTTCTAGGGTACTACTCAATCCGGATGCGGAGGGAAGGGTCATGGTTTATTCAAGCCATCTCAGAGGTCTTTCTAGCGCATGCACACGAAGATGATCTTAATGAACTAATGAGGAAGGTGAGACACATTGTTGCAACGGTGTTTGTTTTATTAATTCGTGATATCTGTCTTTCTATCTATTGATCTATCTGTCTATCTGTCTACCTATCAATCTGTATGTATGTATGGATGTATGTCTCTCTATTCATATATCTACTCATCTGCCTTTGTGTCTGTCTGTTTATCTATCTATCTACGTAAATATATATTAATATGTAAATCTGTCTATCTTTCTATCTATCTATCTATTCATCTATATACAGGTGACCTGCCTTGTGACCGAGAGCTACCGGTCACAGTTCTCGGATGAGGTGACGAATCGTCCTTTTGAGGTGCGTCAGACTCCCGCATACGAGTGTCAAGGGATGCGAAGACGATTTTACTTTCTGCCCAAGTATCCATAACATAGCAGCGTCATCCTTTTTAAACTTGCACACGAGGCTGCTGACGTAGAGCTGCGTCAGGTCAGAGATTGGTGCGACCTTTGTGTGAGAGTAAAATCAAACATAAGTGAAATAAATATGAACATTGCAAATAATTGACTTGCAATACTGGCGTATGCGCTAATTGCCGTCATTGCGGCTAGATTGGCGCAGGAAATAACCCAATCGAAATGACGCCTTGTGTACAATGGGCATTTACAGGAGATAAAACAAATAACCGTGTTTCTCTTGAAACAAAATGACAAATGGTGTTTCAGTGCTGATTTGGAAATATATAATAATAATAATAATCCGTTTTTTTATATGGCGCTCAATACACCGACCCAACGATGTGCCTAAGATCTTTACAGATATATATTTGTTTCTAGTAATTCTGAGGCTCTTGCTTGATAACTCGTCTACGCTCAACTGCCACGATGTAACTATAACAAAATTACCGTGTTCATCTTGAAACAAATGACATTGTCGTAGCTACAGGGGATGGGGGACGTGCCCCTCCCGAAATAAATGGCGAACAGTTATATCTAAAAAATAAAGGTAAAGGTCGAAATGAGATGAAAGAACTCACTCCTATAATCGACGGCTCTGAAAATGGGCAATCTTAAGACGGCACTATCACAAAAATATAAAAGAAAAACGAACAAACTAAAACTGAAAGTATAACCCCATGCACAGCTGGAAAGCATAATGCTTTTGGAGAGTCGAATGACGAATGAAGCATAAATAAATGATAATTTAATTTGAAAGTTATAGGCATCTTTTCCATTCTGATATATTCTAAACATATAAGTATATGTTGATCATTATCATGATTAATACAATTTTCTACGCTGTATGATGTTTTGTGCTTTGTTGTATGAAACTAATGATATTTGTGTTGGGTTATGGATTTGGTTTTTTTTCCAAGTTCTTTTTTATCACTATTTTGTAAATTTGTTATTTGTGCTATGGGTTCACCCGTAAACCTGTAGCCGCTTGCTTTACAGGGTACTGTTTCATACTTAATTTCTCGATATGTTCAAAGATTTCATGAAAGAAAGAAATTGAATGGAAGTGTCTCTCTTTCCACTTTCCATCAATCTTTCTTCTCCGTTCACCCCTCAAAGGCTCAAACTGTCACAAATGCATTTATGTGGACGAGTTGACTTTAAAGTATTAACTTATATATAATTACCCCTATTACAATAATGGTTCTCTGCCTGTATCTGTTATAGCTGTGATATATCTCCACAGTTAAAGTCCGTTTGTAAGAAATTATTTATTATTAATGTCAAGGACTATGTATATTTCTATACTAAATATTTTTTCCGTTTCTACATACGGTATACCATTTAATGTTACAGTATTTGCAATAATCGCTCATATTTCCCGTTTCTACACAGGGTATACTATTTAATGTTATTGGTGATAATCGCGCATGTAAATCATCTTTTATTGATTGTACAACTCATGTTATAATAATAATAATAATAATAATAATAATAAATCACATTTATAACGCGCCTAATACATTGTTTCTAGGCGCAGTGGTGCCGTTGTCCCAGCAGCCATTAAGTGAAGCAATATCCTTACACGAAATAAAGCCGGGACGACAGCACCACAAGTACACAATATTATTCAGTACACAATTATACAGTATGGTATGTTACATTACAAAATCAAAATTATAGCTGTAGCTGTAGTTATAGCTGTCATATCTCCTTGGTTATAATCCATTTGTTATAACAAATTATGTTAGTAATGTTGAGGACTACGTGCATTATTGTACGTAACATTGTTCCCCTTTCTATATACTTATTTAACGTTATTTGTAATAATCCCTCATGTAAATTATTTTGTTTTATATGTAAGTTACCAGGCTTATGTTCCTTTTCTTTTAAAACCATTTTGTTTGTAAATTATGCACAACTCAACGTTATGTTGATATGCATGACTGTTTTGTTTGTTTAATAAATACAATTTTTAATTGTTTTGAATTGAATAGCCTCATACATTTCAAGTAGAACTAAATATGCTTATGGTGAAAGGGCTATCAAATTAGATCTTAAGAGGGTTTATATTTGAAATGAACTTCTTTAGTACGATACAAGTATACATTATACACTCCCCAATAGGATAATTCTCTCTCTATCACTCTCTCTCTCTCTCTCTCTCTCCCTCTCTCTCTCTCTCTTTCTCCCTCTCTCTCTCTCTCTCTCTTTCTCCCTCTCTCACTTCAAGATTGGCTCCAGTCTTCTGATAACATTAAAGATTAAGAACAACCCCAAAACAATTCCATGACCCTCACAGCGCAATCAATCATATTAAAACAATGCATTTATTATATTCAATATATTTACAATCCAGATACAGGATACACATTAATAAATATCATATCAACAACATTTGCAGATGTTAATGTGTGATTACTCTCAACATGGGATCTCATGCTGAAGCATAATGTCGGTAATGTTTTGATTTAGAAAATAGGGCTTTACAATTAATTGGACTGAACTGTGTATGGAGAAGCAATAAACAAGGTATAATTACAGTATGCGAGTTAATGCCCTTAAAGGGATTTGGCATCTTTGTCCAAGATTCCTAAACATAATCCTGGATTTAGCTTATGCTGCAATCATAATTATTAATCTTTAGGTCAGTCAGGAATCCCAATTACGTTTACAAGCCGATCGCTCGTCTGATTATCAAGATATTTATGATAGGAATTTGAAATTTCAAACTGATTTCCCAACGGGTTTTATTACACTACAGTTTATAGGGGAAAATGAGCATGGTGAAACTGGCCCTCAAAGATTTTTTTGATTTTTTTTTATCATTTTGAAGCGCACTTTTTTAGGGCTTCAATATTACACCATATCACAGACGCTAATAACACGTAGGGTCATGCATCTCAGATTTGGCATTGTTAACAAATGCCTTTAAAGGCTGGCTGATCAGACCAGTCACCAGAGTCCGGTCGCAGAGTCCATCCCTTGACCAACTCAAATACGCCTAATAATGAACATACATGTAGTGTGCATTATTATAATCAATATTCAGTGGAACATCTCTTCTCACAGATTCCATGGCACCAAGGAAGCTACCTTGTAGCTTCGGAAACGTGTTACAAAATTGTTTGAAAAAAGCAACCAAACAAACAACAGAGTAGAGGGCACTCTTGATACGAGCAGGAATACAATGAGGCTTCGTTATAACTTGACAATTTTCTATGGTTTTCCAAATTTTCATATTTCGGTTTACTTATCGTGACATTAGACAAAGAAACAATATGTATAGATACGGTCTATATGTCTTGTTTCTCATAAGCTTTCAAATTTATTTTGGGGTTCAATTTGATACTCCACTTTCTCTCGTTTCATAATCTCACTGCCTTTATATGCCATTTAAGAATATTCTTCAAGCTCTTTAGAAATGACTTCATGATTTCATATCATTAAGTTTAATTCTCTATTCTCTAACCCGTTATTCTTCGATGCTTTGTTTTCTTCTCTCAAAAGATTACTTCCTGCGCAGCATGCAACTTCGTGATCCTTGTCATAGTAATTTATTACCGTCCTTCTCCTCCATCTATCTTTCCACGTCTCTAACATCACCTTCTCAAAGCTTGGCCTTCTTCCTGTGTTTATATCAGTTTGTTCACATCATCTAATGCTACGGTCACAAAGCTTTGTACGAACAATAATTTCGTACGAATCTCCGTTTTTCCATTGTCTTCCTGAATTCCATTGCCTGAAAATTGTTCGTACGGCGTTCGTAGCAGTTCGTAATCGCATTTGTGACTGAGGCTTAACATCTTGTCTTTCTGGTTTTCCTCCCTTCATGTACCTCTCCTTTCTGTTCAGTCTTCATTGGTACTACTCCCCTCATCTCCAATTCTATACATTTCGTTCTTCTTCACAGCATGTCCATCCACATCCCTTCTGTAGATCATTTCCTTTTTCTGTTCACTTCCACTTCAATCCTACGCTCACTCCATCAAACCTATGGTCCTAGCAGCTATCCTTGACTGCTATCATTTTCTCACAACATTGTGTTTTGGCATCTTGAACTTCGTCATCGGTTGACCCCCGACCCCACAGGTTCCGACACCCACTTTACCATCAGTGACATCGGGAGAAGCAAAGATGCTCTTCTTGGTAAAACCCTTCTTCCCTTTTGTGGCCTGTAACATTAAAGGGATTGGCAAAAAAAACTGGTTAAAACATGAGTTATACAAATTGGTAAATATATCTATATCTATATATTTCCATACATTATAACTACATACATATACATTGCCATATGTTACATACATCCAGAGCAAAGGGGGATTCGTAGCAACAGAAAGGGGGAGGGGGGGGGGGGAGATATATTAATAAGAATTATCATATCATCTTGCAAGAAGAACACAAAATAACTATAATAATAATAATTATAATAATAGGAATTTCTCTAGCGCTGTCTATCTAGAAATTTTATTCCGAGGCACATTTATTATTACCCCGGCTTTAGCCTAGCTGCCATTACAGCGCTCCAGCATTTCAAGGAATTAATTCCTGCCAGGTGCTCACTTACGTCACCTGGGTTGAGTGTGGCAAATGTAGGTCAATGTCTAGCCAAAGGACATTAGTGCCGTGGCGGGACTCGAACCGCGGACCTTGTGATCAACAGTCAGGCGACGTATCCACTCGATCACGACACCTGTACTATATATCAAGTACCGGTACATAATTACTAGTTGCAGTTGGTTTCTCAAATTGAACTGAATCCTGTTGCTATATCTGGCATGCATGCTGGTCATCTTACCTTACTGCTGAAGTTAACCCATGATTTCTTCTGGTCTTCATGTAGCTGCTCCTGTTGCTTCATCCTATCAGCTTTCTTCTGCTGTTTCTTCTTCTTGTATTCCCGCTGTTTGATAAGCAACTGTTTCCTTTTTAGTGGAAAAGACCAAACAAATGTGATTGATTCAATGCTCATTATGATAATGAGCATTCAAATATGCTCTATCCATCCACAATACAAACTGTGTTTGAATTATCTATCATAATATGAATACTGTGCTAACTTGTAACATGATAATTAAGTTGGTATTTGAAATCCTTCTGGCAATCAAGCACTTTGGTGCTATTATTACCCTAATCATTTAATCCATATCACACATAAAACGGGGGCGTGTCACAAAGCCTTTTTTCAATGACAAATGACAAAAATCAGTGACAAATCTGCTGATAACCAATCAGAAGCAAGGATTTCACTAGCTTAAAACAAACATTGTCATTTTTCACTGATGACAAGTTTGTGAAACGCCCCCCTGGATTGCTTGCATAATGTTTTACTTACTTTGATATTGATGAGTCTGATGATGGAGGTTTTATATTTGACTTGTAGTCTGCTGGTATATCCTTCAATTTGGATAACTGAAAGAGAAATAACAGCAATGCAATAAAACTTAGAAGACATGAGCAAAAGTCTGGGTCGGATTTATACAGGGAACATACATGGCAGAAGCTAGGAGCTAGCAATGATTTGTACAATTAAAATGTAGTACCGGTACTCATTGTTTAATTTACATGATGCAAATTGTGTTCAAATTATTTGAAGCAACATTATTTCTTCAGTCTTTAGACACACTGAGATATATGTAGAATAAATGTGGATAACAAAATATTAAAAAATTCTATTTCAACATATAAAGTAATAATCATTTTGTTTAAACTTGTCAACATTTAAGATGTTTTTACATTTAGATACATTTGTAGACAGTTTCATCAAGGGGGATAACCTTCTTCTTAAATTTTGAAGTACAATAACACCTTTATTAAAGCTGGTTATATGTCTAAAAACAGCAAAAAGATGGAAAACAGCATTTCTTTTATCTATTGTCTGGCAATTCTGTTCAATATAAAACATTAGAGTGATAAAGACATATTTAGCAAAGCACCAGTTTAGCATACCTGTTTAACCTCCACATTCTCGTAGACATCAAATATAACAGTGGCTGTAAGCTCATCATCGATCTTGTCTATTGTTGCAGGGTAATACCTGAAAAAGATTGACACAAATACAGGTAGATAAGATTACATACAGTAAGAAGTAAATGTGAAATTGAATTCAAATTAGGGGGTAACATTAGAGTACCAATACTCATGGATGTAAAATATACACACTAACTAGAAACTATCAAACATTGGCATAAACTTAATTTGATATACAGTCAAATCTGCTTTAGTGACCACCTATCTACCAAGACCACCTGTCTACAACAAGCACATTTTTTGTTTCCCTTGAAAATGGTTTCTCATTGAAACATGTACCAAAGGAACCTGTCTACAAAGACCACTTTTTTGTGTTTCCCTTGGGCGGTCGCTGTAGACAGGTTTGACTGTACTGTACAAGTCTAAATGTAAAGAATAAAGGTTACTTGGATGTTTTAACGGATGAAGTGCACTCACATGAAATGGTTTTACATCCTCTGTGTCAATGTGCAAAGTTTTAATTTTTTGACAAGACAAGCTTTGATACAAGGCCTCTGTCTCATGAAACTGTCATAAGTCGTAAGTTGGTCACCCCAATAAAAACATTTGTGAGGAAATTAACAGGAGTTTCAATCTCAATGTGCATGTATAACGGTTTCATAAGATGCTGCCAGCGTTTCTGTCATGATAATGGTGCACACAAGTTTTCTAATGTTTCATTTGATAACACATTCATCATTGCTTCTACTACTCACTGCTGCTCCTTGCTCCAACATGCTAAGCACCTGTCTCCTACATTCCATGGATGTGTGACTACGGGAACATCTTCTGCATCTGGTTCAGCTGATGTACTGGCTCCTTGCGATGATCTGAGGAGATCTGATGTGAGTTCTATCACGTCCTATTGCCAAAACACGGTGAAAAGACACGTTTAAACCCTGATAAAGCTTCATATCACGATAAATACTAATCAACAGTAAATTGTAAAAATATCAGACGGGTCACAAGATCATTTGCAGACTCCAACTGGAAGTCTAACAAAGAATACGCTGTAAAAATCCATTGTGACTATTTATAATCATTATTTTGAACCACAATCAGAAAGATTTTGCACTATCAAATTTCCCATCTATTTAAATAAGTAGTTTCTTTAGAAGTTCTGTTAAATGGTGTGTTCTGTTTTTCTATATTTTGAGGTAGTCAGTTTGGTGGGCATGTTGCTGATTCAACAGAAAGGAATTATCGTGCCAAGCTGCTAAACCTAATAGGGCAGTATAAACATCAAAATGGCTTTCAGTTGCATTCAACATTAAAAAAGTATGCGTGTGAGGGCCATACAGTTATATCTCACTGCAAAATATTTCATTTGGCCCATGATGTAAAAATGGCAAGAAATAAATACATCTGCCCATTCAAAATGTATGAACCATAACGAGCTACTAAAACTCAAAATCTTATATATCATGGGGATAAATCACTTTACAGTATGCTAGGGTGCTTTTTTTCCACTGCTAAGCAAAATAAATTAAGACTTACCCCTAAATCATGCTTAAGTTTCAGAAGTTCTTCATTCTCTGGATCATTTGTTAAGGCTGCTTCCACCTAATCAAACATGGGGAGAGAACAATGTACAAGAGTATAAAGCTTGGTTTGTAGTTTTTTAGTCGATTTTCTCAAGAAAGAGTAATTTTTGGTCCATTTCACCATGGCACCTCACATCGAGGCCCAGCATATATCATCCTCCCAGCGAAGCTTCGACTGGGACCTTCTACTTCTTGGTGCTGCTGAAAGGGACTATCACGCGCGTGCGCCTTATTACACAAATCCCTATTATTGTTGGGCAAGTATCAGATTGGCAACATGTAAACAAAGCTTTTTCACGTACATCAGGAAGATGTGGAGGTAAGCAAGCAAATTGCTATCGCTCCAGTATCAAATTTTTGGTTGAATATTTGACCGATTTCAAAGTGCTTTGTACGAGTAGAAAGAAAAGTCCACTAGGCACTAGCAAACTCTGAAAGGTAGCTTGCAAGACAAGCTTCGTCGGGAGCAGGAATGTGTTATTACGAATGCATTTGAGATTTTGTTTACATCACTGCGCCATCTACACATTCGTAATGGCGTTATCACAGTTTTTCCTTCATTATCATTTTGCCTTCGGCGTAGACTAGAAGGGATGAGATCGATTTAGATGACTCCATGCGCAGCGAGAGTTTAACACGGCTTGCAAGATTTTCAACATGGATGTCGATTTTGACCCATAATTTCTTTAAAAGGGACCATTAAACGGATTATTTCAGTCAAGTTAGTAAGTGGAACCGATGTATTATAGCCTAGGCCTAATTTGGATATACACGAGGTAAAATGACATTTTGGGGGATTTTGGGGGCATAACAATACGACCTGAAATGGCCGTGGCGTTATCAAGGGAATGTGTATAGACGCTTTCCGTCTCTAAAGAGAGAACCGACCCTACCCCAATAAGAGGCTAACGAACGAAAGAGACGGAAAATTCGGTCTAACCCGATATGTGCTGCGCCGCTACCGCGCATTCATACTTTCTCTTCCCTATGTTGAATCAACGATATAAAACATGGATTAATTGGTTAAGGACAAGGAATCACCCTTTTTTCGTATTAAACTAAGACATCTTCAAATTATAATTGCAAGTGGTTGCCAGGATGCCCAGAGCATTCGAAAAACATTGATGAACCTCAGTTTAAATTTAATTTGTTAGATTTCAAAGAAATAAATAGTCTAGATCTAGAAGAATGATCTAGATCTAAGTTAGTAGGAACAAACCTGCTTTTTGAATCGTTTCCCGGTTTACATGTTTACGATTTAGATTTAGGATTCCTTCGGCAATAGAGCTCCTAGACAGCAATAACCATCTGATTTGGGTCATTTCTTTAATAAAACTGACATTTGTTGTCATTCCCCAATACAGATGGCAACCCAGAGATCTCGTACCGCGGGGATAGCTATAGCCAACAATGGCAGCTTTTTGTGTCAAAACATTTTCTCCCCGATTTTCTTTATTTAGATCTAATTTTCTGATTTCTAAATCAGATGTAAATTAGGTCGGTATGTCATTTGTCCTAATTACAGTTATCAAAATTTGATAACTTAATATTAAATAGACAATTTACGGACTTACTTATATGAATTATCCAATTTGTATCTCAGATCCGCGAAGCAGTACGTTCATGCATTCGAAATATTACCCGGCGGCCGATATATTTCCGGGTCCACCTACCAAAACATAGCCAAATGGCCAATCAGAGCACTCGTTTCGTGGGAGTTCGTTGGTCAAGCTGGGCCGACTCGTATGTAGCTACGGTAGCTATTGGACGTTCGAAAAGAAAAAATGAATATTCATCAACTAAAACCAAGACGGATAATGTTGACGACGAGACTTTCTCGGATTAATCATTAATTTAGGATCTAAATGAGCAAGCTATCGTAAGTCGAATAAGCTATATATATGTTATTTTTAATTTGTGTTGTAATTGCAGCAGTTATGAGGATGTAAAGAGTGAAAATCTCGTTGCATATCTCATTCATCGCGGTCCGGTCGAACCGAACCATTTGTTCCGTACAGTGCCTCACAGAAAGAGGTCCCCAGACTTCAGTCTCTGTAATCGGAGGTCTAGTGGAGCCAGACGTAGTCTCAGTGGAACAACCGACGATTAGAGAGACTGAAGTTTTCGGTCTATAGAGCTCCCTGCCTTCCTGGAGTTAAATATAACCTAGCCCTGGTTTAACTTGAGGCTACTATTAGAATTATGATTACAGTGCATGGGCACTCACTCAACATGTTCAATGACAATCCCTGAACACACACAGACCGGTATTTAGACTTTTTAGTATTGGTACTTGCTTACCTTTTGCTCACATTCACGCTCATTGACTCAGCTCAGTTCACACAACAATGCAATGCAATGCAAATGGTCACTCAATGCACAATCAGAAAGGCACTTGCAAATCCATTCTAATTAGAACATCCTAATCATATTATTTAAAATGTTAAAAAATCTATGATATAAACATACAAATGAAAGTTAACTTTAGTGTCAAAATAACTCATCGTAAGACCTTACCTGCTGTAACTGAGCCTTGTAAGTTGCCAAATTGAGAGCGTATTCGTCGCTGTTGGACGCCATTTTCAATGAATTACGGTATCGCTTAGATACAAAGCAAAAAAGAGATTCCAAAAGAGTTAGAACTCTCTGCTACCAGATCGTTTCGCTCGTATCGGCTGACAAAAAAATGCATTCGTATTTCATTTCATTTACTTTTTAGATCGGCATAAAAAGGCACATCTGAAAGATACAAAATGAACAAATTTTGAGAAGCCGTTCCTTAATGTTTTGCTTATTATTATCATTAATATTATTATTATTGATAGACTATTTTCTTCTTGTACTAATATCATTTCTATCATCAGTTTAATGTTGTTATTATTATTATCTTTAATAAGTAGTTCTTTTAATTTTCTTATCTGTCTGTAAATATTACTATTTTAACTTATTAATTTTATACATGTCTGTAAGGGACCCCACTGGAAATAAGCTCTCGAGCTTTCGTGGGATATCCTGTTCAAGCTGACTTATTTTTGATATGTTATTATTGTATATTGTTGTATGTTGGAAGCTTGTCGAATAAAAATCAATCAATCAATCAATCAATCAATCTATTATTATTATTATAATTAATATAATCATTGTTATTATTATTATTATTATCATCATCATCAATATCGTCCTCATCATAGTAAGTAGAAGGAGTAGTAGTATAAGTAGTTGTTGTGTATGTTGTTGTTGCTGTTTATAACGTAATTGATATGCATTTATGTCATTTTGTATTAATTTATCATATTTTGTGTTTACTTTATTTATCCATTTGTAAATTTCATTTGTTATTTTGTTTAATTGTATTCATTCATTCTTTCTTTTAGGCCTATATACAAATCTGTTTTTTATTTTTTTTGTGTGAATACTACATGCATTTAAAAAAAAAAAAAAATTCGTGGGGGGGTGGTATTATTTTATAGATTTAATTATTTGTTTAGTCATTTATTTTTATTTTCATTAAGTTCTTCTTCTTCTTTGTTTGTTTGTTGTTGTTGTTGTTGTTGTGTGTGTGTGCTTTTTGTTTGGGGGGAGGAGGGGGGGGGGGGGTATTATCGTCATAAGGCCATCATCAATGTATAAACTGAATGCATACACCTAACTAAAATGGGTATTTTACATGGGACTTTGTCTTCAGTAACTTAATTTCTGTCGGTAAAAATAGGAGATTCGCGGTTGTCGGCGGGGTGGGGTACTTGATCCCCCTGCCAAACCCAATCAGGCATACCATACTAGTACACACATGAAATACGAGAGCAGAACCCCCCCCCCTTCCCCAACCACCTTCGAAAAGAACCCTGCATCCTACATCCTACTCTTTCCTATCATATAATATCAACCTTTCATATAAAACAAAGATTTAATAAGATCAAAGTGGCATTTATTCTCACGAAACATAATACATGTATTTTCCATCAACACAATTGTACCATATACTAGTAGGACTACAATTCATGTAATATTATACGTTAACACATTCCTATAACACAACACGTTACATTGTCGACGTTTTGTTCAAGGAGTGGATGATTTTTTTTATTTTACTATTACAATCTTAATCAACTTTAAATCTTACATCAACATTGAATCGCGTCAAAACATACTTCATTCGGCTATATAAAAAAAAATCAAATCATTTCTTTATTCATCGTCAAATTAAAAAATACACTTTGAAGGTAAAGTCATACAAATATTTATAACGTATATATACGTTATATACGTCATACGTCATACGTCATACGTTATATACGTTATATACGTCATATATATATATATATGAAGCCTAGTATTTAGTGTGAATTCGTAATCACAGATTTCATTAAACTTATTGAGGATCATTAATTATTAATGATCCTCAATAGGCCTATTATAGACCTATATACACAAATTAGCGTGGGACATGAAGTTTCATACTTTGTTCATACTTCGTATAATATTGGATGATTTAAAGGACACCCAATATTGCAACCTGTTGTACTTTATTCGATTGTTTGTTTGTTTCACTGTATTTACTTTCCTCGGTGCAAATGACATGTAATCTACATTCTTTAAGAACATCAATTATAACACACAAATATGTACGAGGTTGCAGATGTGACAATATAAGCTCAAAATATGTTCAACATTATCTAAATTTTTTGATAATTGTAGTCGATAATTGTATAATTGTTCGAGTATGACACCATGATGTCAAATGGGTTAGGGAAAATAGATTAAGGGCGAGGGATCCCCCTTTTTTTAAGGGGGGGGGGGTCAAGTGGCAAATCAAACATCTTCATTTGGGGGGGGGGAGCTGGCGCGTGTAAAATGGATCACAAGTAATGCCATATTGTCTCAGAACTGTTACTTTTTTCTTTTTTTTGGTAATATTGTATTCGCACACTTAAAGACAATCAACAATTAACAAACAATAATAGGTAATTTCTAGAATAAATGAACAAACAAACATGAACATGATGACATCTAAATTATCAGAGTGATCGATTCACAAATAGGCGGAGTAGAACAAGGCTTAAATGGTATCAAGGGTAACATTAAAGTTGCTCTCATGGTAGATAAAGTTATCAAGTTATCAATATATTCATGGAAACGATCTTAGATTTCGTGTCTCAGGTGTCGTGGTAACGAAGCCATTAAATTAAAATGTCTGAAATATGGCAACCGTAAAAGCTGTACAGTTTTTGCTCGACGTCGCAACTATAGTGGATGATAGTCTGTCAAAATTCCGTTTGCAGACAACTTTGTCAACACAGTGTGACTATTTACACCTTTGACACGTCTGATGAATTCCAAGTTGTGAATTGGTTGGATATTCTGTGATCCGTTGCCGTCGATACTGTTCCTGCAACCAGCGTCAATGTCGTTGATTTTCCACTGCTGCGATTGCCTTTCCCGTGCTTCCTAAGCGCTCCACCTCGTCTCCTGTAGCACAGTACGCCGGTCCAGAGATGTAAGACTCGTTTATTGGCCATGAAAGCCAGGAAGATGTAGACGCCCTGGAGAGAGTTGAGGATGATGAAGACATACCACAGGGCTGACACGCCGGCAAAGGCTGCTACGAACCCGAACAGCCAGGTGAAACCTAACAATGTTGAGATCTAGAGGAAGAGAGAGAGAGAGAGAGAGAGAGTGAGGAGGGGGGGGGGGGGGGGGAGAAAGAGAGAGAGAGAGAGAGAGAGAGAGTGAGGAGGGGGGGGGGAGAAAGAGAGAGAAATATAGATATGTCAAATACTAGTACTTGTAGTTCCCAAGAGCACGTGATACGTTATATCGAGACTAAACTCCTTTTCAAGAGTGAAGTAGTAAATCGCCTCAGAGCAAATCAAAAATACAACAAAACAAAGCAATTAAACACGCGTCTTAGTTTCACACCGTGTCCATTGTAAACTAAATGCCATTCCAGATAATTAAGTCATACTTCAGTAACTCAGTATAATCTAATAAAATATGTGGACTGTGCATTTTGCAATCATTTGTTTGTAAGATGTCACCCTCACCCTCGCAGGGCGTGTCAAAGACCATGCACAGCAGTTGCTGATGCAACCCTACGTCAGGGAAACGAAGCCTCGTGTGCAACATACAGTATAGTAAAGTAAGAGAAAAGTCAGACTAATGAAAAGGTTCAATTATACATAATGAAATCACAGGAACTTTCTTTCTTTAACTTGTCTTCTCCAAACTATTTTACAGATTGTATGCCAGGATAAAGAAATTACGGTGACGTATACCTTCCAATATATCCGTAGCTCCTTTCCCCTTTCCTTCAGGGTGCTGGCATGTCGGATGGCACGATTTCGGACCTTGGTCACATGTCTTATTCCGTGGACCGTGTGTGCAAACAAAATTGTGTTGACGAACAAAAAGACGGCAAGTGGGCCACCGAATGCTATTAGATTTACAGTTCTATCACCGATCCAACATAGAGTTTCACTCCCATAGTGAAAGTTAATCTCATCGCCTATTGTGAAATGAATTCCAAGGCATGTGCCCACGATTGCGCCGGCTAATGTAAAGGCGAATGCTGAATATTTCAAAAGCGATATGAGACTGTCTGACGACACGGTGAAGTTGTTCAAACTGCCAAAAGTCCTATCCAGTTCAATCGCCAGAACGGTTGTCATGGCAAAAACTAAGAGCCAAAGAAAGTGACCCACGACTGCTACAATCATGCATGTTTGTTCATCCCCTGTTGCAAGACCATTCAGTAACTGGAAGAGTTGAGCAGCAAATAGAGCTACACAGAGGATCATGATGAGTTTGTTGCTGACGCACTGCCGGAGGACAGGGAAGGTACTGTACGTCAGAAAGGTGACGATCAGCGCAAGGAGCGACAAACACACACCAACATAGCTAAGAATAATCTGTGACTGGTCGTACCGAAAGAAATTTTTCACAACAGTGTCGTTCACTGTTCCATTTTGACCAGAGCCCACTGGCACACAGACTTGGATGTTGCCGTCTGATGTCAGCATATATTCATCTGGACCAATCAATTCCTCGGTCTTCCTATCTCTCAGAAAGAGCGCCTTTCCAGTAACTGTTGTGTAGAATGATGCATTTCGAGTTATCAACGGACAGGAAAGAACATTCCCTCGATCGCAGATACGAACCACTTCATTCTTATGGAAACTCTGAATGGGTAATGAATCCTGACGATCATAGCTCGCTACCAACTCCGTTTCATAGGGGTGATACAGATCACCTGTCTCATTATCGTAAACAAATGATGTGCCATTAAAAATCTGAAATGAAGGGTCTAAAAGCTCCTCATGGCCGTCTTGACATTTGTGAAGTCCTTCTACTGCGATACATCTTTGTGAAATTTCAACCTTCTGAATTGAACAACCCAACGACGACTGATAAACATTCAGAAGGGATCTGTCGATGGATTCTTCAAGTTCGGCATACGTAATGGCCTTTGCGTCAACTCTGTACTCTACGGATATGTACATGTGTCCTTCTTGCGGGATATTCGTGTGGTCAGAAATGCTTCCAGAATAATTAGTGCTATTATCCAATGAAATCTTATCGTTGAAGATTAAAGAATCGTTGGACAATAGGAGGCTGGTAGCAATGCAATTCGTAAGACGGTCCAACTGATCAATATCTGACTGAAGATATGTCTCATTGAGCGCTGTCAATATCACCGCAGTCAGTGATAATTCCAAATCAGCTCCTTCGTTTCCACATGTGAGATTAAACGACGGCGAATCCCTGACACACCTGCTATCAGTGAGGGTATAACCGTCAGCACAGGTGACGGCTACACATCCATCAGATGTCAGATCGAAGACTTCACCATCGTTGCACGTCACTTGCCTTTTTACGACTATGTTCTCAGAATAGAAGATGGACACCCCGCTCTTACCCGAAAAGTCAACAATTACGGAGATCGGAATCAAGGAAACGCTGTCGGTATCTTTGTCGATGAAGCTTTCATCGTCAACTCCTAAATCAAAATCAAAGCTTCTGCCGCTGCTCTGGATGACTGGTGTGAGTGACTGTTCTGGTGAAGAGCAAATTCTTTCCAAGTACTCACTGTGTTCATTCATCGTCCGATTTGTACTTATAACGCCCTCATTGCAAAGTTGACAGTATGGATTCTTGTAGAGTCGACCTGTCGAATCATCTGTGTAGACACTACTGAATGACATGCATCCCTCTCGTAGACTCTGTGGCGCATCAGTCGGGCAACTTGCAACATAGTTATTGTTTAGACATGCGCGAAGGCTACTTTTTGGCACATCTGTTGGAGGTGAGAAACGTGGTTCACAATTTGCAGAATTAATTAGTTCCTGAAGGGTTACGTTTCTCGACTCAAGACGTGTAGCATACTCCTTTAAGCAATTGAACTCAAATTTCCATCCAGTGATACTATTATTTTCGTGATTAAGCTCAATCCCATTGCAGACAGCGCAAAATACATTTCTGTAAGTAACGCCACCGTGTACCATCGGTAGAAGCACCAAATCAGTGTTTGACGAAGGCTTCCTTGATGTGCACTTATATCGCACAACGTCGCCCTTCCATTTATCTGGGCATGACTGGATCATCCAGTAGGCATCTACCGCACCTGAATTCGGAGAGATGCACGCCAGATCAACTTCTTCCAAAGCGTCCACTGTCTCATAGAAACCCCTTGTGCTCTCTGCAGATTCCATCGCAGAGCAAGCACTTTCGAAATCCCCGCAACAGTCGTTGTAGAACTCACAGGCATAGTCGCAATGGCAAGGGGTTTGGTCACCTGGTACGTCTCCACACTTCACGTCGTTACATAGAGAGGTGGTGCACACCTTAAATGTATTTTCTCCGATGTTGACATCGCGAGTCGATGCTGTAATAGAAAGGGAAATAATGAGAAGGGAATGCTATATCTAGTGAGAAGAGTGCATCGATCCTTTTTCCCGTCTTAATTATGAAGAAAGGACACTGTGAGCTCTGGTAACGTTTCACAGGAAAACCGGAACGTTTTTTTTTTACAGAATATTTTGTTTTCATCTTTATTGATATGGTGACAAAGGGCAATGTTGATGTAATGGGAAGACAGTGATCCCCCTCCCTCCCCCCGACATATTCGAGCGACGCTGTATTTATACAAAATATGTGAAAAGGGAGGAGGATATAGACAATAAAAGAGATGGGGGAATGGGAGATATACTATAAGACAAACAGGGGGAGAGAAAGAGAGATGCCGATCGAGAGTACATACATTAAACATACAAAGTAATCATACATATTAAGTCACGCTTGGATCAGCTGGAGTTACTTTTAAAGAAGATAAATATTAAAGTGGCGTATCCAGAAATAGAATAATGATTTTAAAAATACAAATAAAATTAAGGGGGTAGGGTATTGAAATTACTAGGCAGACCGGTATGATACGACATATTTTTATTTCCTTTACAAAGTTTTCAAAAGGCCCGGAGCTAGGGCGTACGCCGTCCGCGTCAATGTTGGTCATGTCACTCCGACGCCAAATGACACAAACGAAAGTGAAACTAATATGAAGAATGACAGAATTAATCATACCTGACACGCATATCAAAAGCTGAAGAACTACAGAAAGCCACAGAGGTGCCATGAGGAGGAAGTGAAAATAGTCCATTGTTGAATAACCTCTCCAGTGGATAGACAGTCGTCGGGGACAAACAGAAAACATCGCCTGTGAAACAAACGACAAATTAATCACAATTGTATAACATATCGACAATAAAGGCATAGTTTTTAAAATAATCACATCCAAGAAAACCTGATGTTCAGATCAAATGGATATTTTGTTAATTACCCGAGTTTGGTAAATCGACAAACTATACAAATAATACCAATGTAAATAATTTGGTTAAAATAACATGAGTGTCAAGTGTTAGCCGTTATCTAACTTTCCCGCCCCGCCCCTCCATGACGCCAACAGTGCCCCCCCCCCCCCAACAGCCTGACACCGGCTATGCCACAGCAGACTAGCGTACGTGTAAATATGAACATGACATTATGACGAGTAACCTAGTACGATGATAATGGTATCACTTTTGAATTGCCCCTTAGTCTCGTAAATCGTAGGCTTTGGTAATGGTAGGCTTTGCAAAACTACCTAAATATAAACTACCCAGATGTGAAACCATTTCGATGCCCTAGTGCCCTTTGGTAAGGCAATACTTCTCATTACCAAGTACCTCGAAGAATGAAGCCGTTGGTCTCCTGGTTCCTTACGTTCAAGCATACACATGTTTTCTTAGCAGTCAGGGATTACAAAAAAACCACCCAATGTACACACAACAAAACTGTCATCTAAAAGGTTTTGATTACCTCAAGACATTGATTCTCATTATTGATCATAAAAATACATAATATCTCCTGTACGTGCTGTAATAGCACTGTCTTTTTTTTCATCCTTCTAATTTATATTCATCCGTTGTTCATGATAAAGTTAACGCTATAGAATACTGAATAAATTGTTCGTTTTCATCAATGAACTTGATGTGTATTTTGTTGTGACTAATAGAATTAAAAATATAAGGTATATTCGTCGCGATTTTTAAACAACTTTTCTAAACTTAAAATGTATATGATTCGACGGAATGCGTATTTCAATAATACGTGTATAGTTTCTCTGTATTAGTATTATAGAGTCATTATTTTATTGGATTCCTCTGTGACTTCTGCACTTCCCAAAAAGATTGTTTTTCTTTTCTTTCGTATTTGCCTTTCGGCTGCGAATGTTAATACCAAAGTCCTTATTAGAACACACAAAGTTGTGTTTACATTCATTTTACAATATTGATCAAATATCATATACCATATCGCTGGGTAAATGGTAGTTGACAGCAGCAGGAAACTGCAAAATGCGGCTACACGTTGTACTTGAGATACGGTTTTTTGTGGCGTAGCTACGTAGGTCATAAGGGCACAGGCACGGTGGAAAGATTTTTTTAAATTAAAAAATGGAGAGAGGCAAAGAGGTGAATGAAATGGATATTAAAAGAAGGCAATGGGACCCCTTCCATAACCTCCATCTACCGATCACAAATGGCCTGGTTAATTAACTTTTTTTATGAACCCAGTAAGATCGGTGCACAAAGCTTTGTCAGAGCCCCTTAAGGCTTGGCTCACACTAGGCCATAAATGATCATTAACGCTTTTCAGCGAGGCACATAATATAGAAAAGAAGCAAATCGAAACAAAAAGGTTTTTAAAATCCCCGTACACACAGGATTCTTGGTATTTCTAACAGAAATAGCGATAACAATCATGTACTCAAATATACAGATGCATTAATTCTCATTGAGATTCTGATAAGCTCACTTGAATATTGGACTTAACTATGCAGTTGTGAGTGTCGGTGCATTTTCTTCAGTGTGCTCAATGATGGGGTGCACACCAAATTAGTAAGAGAAAAGGAGTATGAAAAGGATGTAAAGAGGAAGGGAGACATATTAAGAGTATGGAGAGGGGTGAGAGAAAGAGAGAGAGAACAAAATGAAATATTAAGATATTGATTGATATCTGCCGTGCTGATTGATTGTAAAACTGATTTGTAATCATGCATCAATTATAATTATCGAGATACATACAATTGTTATTATGCAAATATATTTAACACTGAAGTTCCATAAAACTGTGCTTTACAAGACTACCAGGGCACAATTCAATGAAATAATGCAAATTTTGCAAATATATTTTGCAAACACTGCAGCATTGACCATGTCTACAGTAGGCTACATTTCCATGTTTATCAGTTAATGTGTAAACATAATTTATTAATGCAAGCGATTAAGGGGTCATGATAAGTTTTTATTATAATGAAATAACAGGTAGAAAATGTTACTTACCTCTTTACTATCACAGAGAAAGCATGAAGATTATTACTGGTACATCAGTGGGTCTCTGCATACGCAGAATTAATCGCAGTATGATAATCTTATAATCATGTAGCTCTGGGATATCACCTATGCTCACAATTGAATCACGTGTAAATATTTGTGGAGTTTTGAAATCGAGTCGTCATCACTATTGTGGCAAGGCTTCCTCAAAATAATATCTACAGTCAATCAATGTAAATCGGTTTCAAAACAAATGATTGTGAGAACTAAGTCGGGAGACTGCAACGTTTGGACAGATCGATTGTGACGTTGCCGCTAAACAATAGTGAGATAAAAATGCGTCCGTCCCAACTTCCGGAATAAAGTCAGATCATGACATATAGGCAGTGTGTATTGTATTAGCAGCCGCGTGACGCAAAATGCAAATGATGGGAAAACTTTTGGTGATGCTGCGTGGGTTTGTGCGTGTTTGTGTGTATGTGGTGTGTGTGTGTGTGGGGGGGGGGGGGGTTGAAGGATAAGGTAATGGGTTTTACCTGGATAAAATTATGCAGAGTGCTGATTCAAACACTTTCTACACAGCATTATGTATCCATAAACTTCTGAAATATTTTGAAGCAACTGTCCTGTGAAGCAAGAGGCAGTTGACAATTTGGCATTGCGGTAAACATCAGGAGAAGGGAACTTAGCGGTGGCGGAGTTTTATTTAATTACTGAATAGTGCTTATTGCTGAACATATATTTTATATACATCTCTTTAGAAATCTAGCCATCTGATTGGTCGAAATTAGAGTCGTGATTTTAGCCATTCCCGCAGTAAGAAACGAACAATGCCAGTAATGGTCAATAGTTCATGAGTGAGATTAACTCAAGATTCCGGGTACCGTGAAAATAGTAACATTTTGATGAGATGCCATGGCTTACGTGTTAAAACTTACATTATGCGAGCGCGGATACCATACAGTGCTTTTTGTCTGCGTTCCCAAATGATTGTAACATTCATTCATCTTTCCAGCGAAGATGTACAGACAGTGTCTCAGATTTTTTGTGATGTTTTAACCAATCTTTACTGAAGAAAGGGATAAGGTATAATTCTTGGTAGATTTTTGGGTCAATTCGGTAAAAAAAAATTATACCGATTGCTTTAATATTCGAGGCCTGGCTAGCTGTTTCTATACTTGAGCCTATAAAAACAGTCGGGCCTCTCACAGCCAGGCGATTACGCAGGGGGTGGGGGAATTGTAAACAAAAAATAGTACACACCAGGCGCGGATCCAGGATTTCTTAGGGGAGGGGGCCCAACTTTTTTTTTTTAGCTCCCGGAAATTTGAACATCGCGCCGGCCGAAAAGTCGCTGAGTGGGGTGGGGGGGGGGGGGGGGGGGGTTGGGTACAGAGCACATTTTTTTTTTTTTTTTTTTTTTTGCTCCCGAAAATTTGAAAAACGCGCCGGCCAAAAAATTCGCTCAGTGGGGGGGGGGGGGGGGGGGGGGGTAGTGAGCACATTTTTTTTTTTATCCTCAAAAAAAATTTCAATTTGCACCCCCCCCCCCCTTGAGCGCCAGGGGGGGGGGGCCCAACCCCCCCAAAAAGGTAAAAATCACGTGATTTTACATCTCAAGGGGGGGGGGGGGCGGGCCCCCCGGGCCCCCCGGCCCCCCCCTGGATCCGCCACTGGTACACACTACTCCCCCCCCCCCTTACCCCGTTGAGCGAGAGAAAAAATGCTCATTGCACATCCGAGGGAAGAAATGTTTTCCACTTTTACAGAGCGTGCGTCTGTTTTATTTTTAAACATTTACACTGGCAAGCAAGAAAGGATGCCTGATGCCAGTAAGCATACGCTTGTGTAGGGTACGCCTGATTCACAAACAATACAATCAGGTAATCTCACCCACAAAACTCTTTTTTTTGCTATTTATATCGGGTAAGAAGGATGAATTCATTCCAAGGCTTCGACAAAAATGGAGTACCCAATCCCCTAATCTGCGTTGAACGGAAAGATGGGAAGTGTTGTGAAAGCAATCGGAAGTTGTGACCGAAGCTATATATAGTCTAGAATTCATTAACCTACTCAATGTGTATAAATTAAGAGACACGCATTAAAAGATAAACAGCAGGTGAAAAAACATACGGGTACAATTTCTCGAGGGGGGCTGAGAAAATATCAACTTTGGGGAATCTAAGTTTTGCAACCAAGTGAAAACTTATGGCATTTTATAATGCTAGAAATAACACTTCATCACCAAATAGATTTAATGTCTAATTTCTCGTCCCTCCTCCTTCCTTCTGTTGGTCCGCCTCATTTCTTCTATTTTTTTTATTCGAGAGTTTGGTTCTAAAGTTGAAATATATACCGATCTGAAGACAGTCAGACAATAAAATTATTAAAGGTAATACAAAGTTTGGGAAATTTAAAAAAATGGGTGGATAGTGATTCTTTAAAATGTTGATATATTTGGATGCCCTTAGACAATTTAGCCCCTAAAACACTTCTGCTTTCGGGAAAAGTTTAATATAAAAATTTACCGGTGCTCCCGGTAAATTATGATAAATTTCAAATAGCGCCTACGGCCGTACAATGGTAGCTGTGACTATGAAAATCTCCAAACGGGATTGACTAATTGGTCGATTTGAGTCAAGAAACATTGTTTTATAGCTTAATCAATATCTTGATCTTGAGAGGGAGGTATACAACATAAAGAGTTTATTGTTCACAATTTCATAACTTTAGACTAGATTTCAACTGCGACAACGATCACTGAATATTGTAGGATCGCATATGTTTCCAATTTGTTCATTGAACAAAATTCATGATACCAAAACTTTGTATTACCTTTAATGCAATGCAATTTTAACTTTTTGAGTCATCGAAGCGCACTATCAAATTGATTGCATTTTTACTCAATAGCATTATTCAAGTAAAGAAAGTATTAAATATCAATTAACATATAGCCCCTCCTCCTCTTCATCTTCGACAGATTTGAGCAAGAAAATAGGTTTAATCAGTTTTTCTTGGAATAATACCATATGATTCCTAAGTGAACTCAATAAAAATTTCAACACGCGAGTTTGATTTTTAGCATTCAAATTTTCAAAAGGACATTTTTTGAAAAGTTTATCATTCCAATATTTAGGTATTCTTTTTCTCCCTTATCCTCAATGTTTTAACTGACGGAGTGTTGCCAATTGTGAGTGCTGGCTCGTCAATCCTTTTTTAGAATTGTACAGAAAATTTGTTTTGTTTAGTGGTACCCCGAATCCTCACATACCGCACGGATAAATGAATTCATACCTTAAATCAAATTGTTACCATGCATGGGGCCGACTCTCCACCTATTGTGCTATTGTCATCGTTCTTGAACAAAAGCAAAAATGTCTACGGATCAACGCAACTGGACTCGGGTGAACGGGCCGGTTATAACTCAACACACGGATCTCAGTAAGGTACATTCATACGCTCCACATACTGGCATAACATCATATTCTCAAGATATATGAGTGAAGTGAATGCTCTCTGGTCCGACTCTGCGCTGCTGGAAAGACAATCTAAAATGGAGCTGAATGCCGGGTTTAGAATATTACTCTATGCACTCTTGGTCATTACTTCGACCGTTGGTGTTGCGTTTGTGGTGTTTTCGTGGCTGTTGTACCGATTTAACGGGAAATATGGACATTTGCCTTGCCCGCGACCTACAAGGTAGGCTAATAGTTATTAATTGATAAACAAACGTACTTTAATGTTTGTTGCTGATATAGCTGCACTATGAACCAATGGATCGCTTTCTGTTTACCGTTTTGCTCAGTGTAGTGTGTTGTATAAATGGCAGGGAGTGTAGTAGGTTTTCCTTCATCTGGGAATGAGCTTAAATAATGTAAACTTATATTAGAAGCAGAATAATGATCAGCACAGGTCCCTTCCCTTTAGTAAACAGACCAGAATATGACCCGTAAAAATATATTTAAGACCTAGCTGTTATCCTATTGCCATTGTGTACATTGTATATACATGTACATTACAGCGAGAGTAGTAGAGGGATTTCTTGAACAGAATCGTGGTACGCAGGCGGCCGGCGGTAATTCACAACGTGAAAGGTGCATATATAACTGTAGCTAGTGTAGAAAAGATATGAGACCATATATTTTGTATTCATACTTTTTAACACGTAAACAGGGAAGTGTAACACCTCCCTAACGTAAACTAACGAACACGCACACACATGTACCCGGATATCATACATACAAAATATTGAGTACATACATACATAAACATATTTATATATTAAATATAACATGGTCATATATCATTTCTACACTACTGGTATGTACTTTTAACATTATGAATCACTGCAACGTTCTGTTAAAAAAAAACCTTTACTCTCGCTGTATATAATTATATACAGCATATATGTCAATATACATGTATATGTGTGTTTGTGCACATATCTCCGCTATATATATATATATATACCGTGGGTGTGAGTGTATGAATGTGTAATGACCCTGTGACTCTGTGACCCCTTTCAAACTCTCCGTTGGCAAATCTGTAAGTTCTTGAACTTTTCGAAATCCTTCTGGCATAAAAAGCAGAAAGAATGTTTTAGCTCCTCCCTTTCCCGCCTGCACAATACTCCACTTCCCCTCCACAATACTCCACTTCCCCTCCATATCAAGATATTCTCTAGGCGCTTCTATTGAAGAGATCCGGTAACTTTGCCTCAGATTCTGAAACAAAATCCTGGATTTAGCTCATGCTCAATGATAATTATAAACCTTTAGGTCAGTCATGAACTTCATGACTTTTAAAAGCCGATCGCATGTCTGATTTTCAAGATATTTATGATTGAACATCATAACCAAATTTTGCGTTTGCCAAACGGTTTTCATAACACTACAGTCTATTGGAAAAACGAGTATGATAAAACCGGTTACTCAAGGATTTTTAATTTCCTGATCATTATTTTATAAAGCGCGATAAATTTAGGGCTTCAATATTACACCATATCACAGACACTTGCAGCACGTAGGGCCGTGCGTCTAAGATTTAACATTGTTAAACGATGCCTTTAAATTATGCTGTTCTACATGCGTGTGTAATTTTGTTGCTTGTCAGAGTATATGAATTTTCGGTGTAGCTACATTTGTCATGTCGTTTCATAATATGATGTTCATTCTACATGTACATGTAAGTGAATACAAGATGTAGCAACTGGAATTTTTAGTTTTTAAATTATGACAAAAATAACAAAATTATTATAATCCCAAGCGAATCAAAATCATGTTGACGGTTTGTATTATTAAAAAAACAACGACGACAGTTTGCTTGGTATCGAATAATTTTTGACTTAAAGCGTTGAAATTACCTTCTCAGTGCACTAACACAGATATTGAATAAAATACTAAGTTTGTATAAATATATTCATGAATAAATATATAACAT